GGGGGGGGGGGGGGTGCAGATAAGCAGCAGCATACCTGATATCTGATACCACTACAATGTGCAGTGTTGCCATAGAAACTGAGATAAAGCTCGTGTAAAATCTTAGATTTTGATTAAAACATGAACAAAAATGAAGGGAGTTTAATGCTGCAGCTTTTGTGCAATCTGCTTCTTTAATAAACCTGTTCTATGTTTTGGAATAGTGGCTGCCATTAAAACACAAAAAGAAAAAAATATTTTTTCATCATCTTGCAGTGCAGCTATCTTTGTAGTTTTCTCCACCTTCAGAACAGTGTTTCAGTCCTGACACACACGCACACACACGCGTTTCTTTCTTGACGCCGTGGGGACCTTCCATTCATGTTTTTTATACACTTTATAGCCTAACCTTGAACATATACCCTAAAACTAATCTGAACCTTTGTCCTAAACCTAAACCCACACCAGTAATTTGCACTTGGACCTGTGGGAACATGGCAGTGGTCCCCACGAGGCTGCTTTTTTTGGTGAAAAAATCCCATGTCAGGAAGGTGCCACCCTATAAGATCGATGCCGTCAGAGATTTCTCTTATTTTTCCTGGTGTTGCCATGGCCACCGGCAGTAATTAGCTCAGGGACTGCAGAGGAAACGTTCAAGAACATGTGACCACATGTTGCAACATAAACACTTAGAAAAAAACACTTAAATAATTATAGATTTGTTAATTTTATAAAACTCTGATTCCTTTCAGAACGTGAGTGAATGATGCTCATCTAGTTAGCTGTGGTGACCGTCTTAGTTTGAGATATTTTACTAACTGAGCTAACCATCTCTAGTCTGTTAATGCTCAGAGTATCTGTTGTTTCCCACCTTATCTACCTTTAATCTCTGTCTTGTTAGCTTCACATTAATTCTAAAACAACCATGTGTTTCTATTTTTAGTCATGTGTCTGTTTTTGTTTGTTTTAAGCTTTAGTCATAGTTTCTAGTTGAATCAAATAATGTTTTTTTTCCTCCATTTTCCAGACTGCTGCCACGGGAGTCTGACGTAACTGCCAGTGGTTTTAAAGGCTTTTAACAAATCTGTCCTTGAAAACAAGCAGCAGAGAGCGAATAATGAACCCTGCTGAAAAACACAAACTGTAAAATCTAATGGAACTGAAAAGATTATCATTAATCTCAAAATTATGACTGAAATGGAAAAGTTTGCCCAGTTTCTCACAATGTTGAGTTGCCATCAGTACTAAATTACAACCAAGTATCACAGAAAAAAAAAACAAATAAATAAATAGAGAAGAACTTTTTTTTGTTTTTGTGCCTGCAAGCACAAAAGTTTAATTCTAAAGGGTGGGGATGGAGAAAGGAAGATGACAAGAGGAAGAAAAAGGGTATAAAGGGGATTGTCCCCGCCACACACAGCAGGGACATCATCACATTACATTACAAGCTACATTTAGCCACATATTCTATTTGGTTGTACATATAAAGCACTGTAGGAAAATCAACAGAGGTTAACCAGCTGCACCCTAGACAAAGATGAGGCCCAAACCTTCAGAAATCTTTTCTTCCAAACTTTCTCACTGTGGGGTAAAACACTTAAAAACAAGGATCAGTGGGCATCACAAACAGGAAACAGAAAGTTCACAGTTAATCATATTTTTCAACCAACAACCTCAAACTCAATGACCAGGATGCAGCCACTTTTTTTTCAAGAAATGAAATAAAAAAAATTATATGTGTACAATTAAACAACATCAAAGATAATATTTTATTTTCCTTTCAACCTTGTTTAACTGTGAACATTTAGTAAAAATAATGAATATGAACAGTGATAGGTTTGAGCCTACAGTGTGTTGTGAGTTTTCTCTAGTGCTTTTACAACAACCAAACCTGATCTAAGCTTTGCCATCAAGTGTCTGTGCCAATGTGCTTGAGTTAGCCTGTTTGTGGTGCAAGTCGCCTTCAATTTCCTGTTTGCTGCATCTGAGGGGGGAAYAAAGTCACTGTTAGATGAATCTGCTACAAATTAAACTGTAAATAATCTTATAAAGTTAAAAAACTGACTATAATATAAACGACTTGACAAACTATTTCAACGTCTAAAGTATCAATTAAACTTAAATAAAAAATGGAAGTGACACTAGAAAAACACGTTTATCTAATTCAAAACAAGTCAAATTACAACTCAGTGCAGCAAAACTAGAAACAATTTATAATTAAAGCCAAAAGCCATGATTACTTTAAGTCCACAACTTTAGATTTTGCTTACTTTCATGTTTCTACTTTTTAGAACAAATAAAATAAAACTTAAATGTTAATAAGTTGAAACATTTAGCTCAGTGTTTCCTCTCATCTTACCCTGAGCTTGGTCCATTTCCTGTCCTTTCATTTGACTGCAGGTCAAGTTCAGAGAGCAACTTTAATATATTCAGAGCAGCCTGTAAAGTTAAAAACAGCAGTAATTATTCAACAGTATTAAAACAACTCAGAAGTTAGAAAATGTGTTCTACTTTAAAAAAATCCAGATAGCTTCTTTGTTTTGAAATATAGAAACCATTAAAAAGTTTTATTTGTTATAATAACCAATTAAATTATTTAGGATATTGCATGTTATTTACCCTCAACTTATTTCTTTATAAAGRTGGTCACTGCATAACATTTAACAGTTCATGCTTGCTTTTTAAAGCAATAGTTACTCAAGAAAACACATCTCTTTTGGCATCTCAATCCTGGGTTTTCTGCTTCAGCTTTTCAAATAAACCAAATCAGACGTGTAACTCCTAGAACAGGTCAACCGCTCAGATTAGAAACACATTAAGCTGCCACTGAACACTGACAAGCAAAGAGGAAGTAGTTTAATTAAACAACCCATTACTACTAGCAAGCAGATTGTTATTCTGAAACAAAAAATTTAACTTGTCTTTTCTAGTGTGACTGATTCATATTTTCAAATAAAGGCAGTGTTTTTTACTATCAAGCACTTTCTTCCTTATGATTTGATTCCTTTTTGTCAATTTATGATTGAATAATTATTTTCTGATAATTTCATGTAACCTTAGTCCTGCATATGCAGGATTGTATGGATGAACTTTACTACCAGTGTTTTCGTTAACGATGACGATGATGAAATATTTTCGTTGATGCCTCCTTTTTTCATGACGATAATGAGACGGTAACAAAACAAACATAGCTCTTTGATGAAGAAACGTGTGAGTTTTCGTTGACGAGACGAGACTGGACGAAAATGTTAGTCGGTGGTCTGTCAATCATTTAGAATGCATAGTGGAGGGAGGGACAGCAGTGCTGTTACACATACACGTACGCACACACACAGCAGCACAAAACATTTCCTCCTCTCATTCAGTAAAGAAGGAAGACAAACAGCCTGCGTCGCTTCGCAAAAAAAAAGTTAGTCCGTCACCTGTAGCTTAACAAGTGAGTAACTTCTCCACCATTAAAAGATGTCGCAGGTCCATTCTGAGCGCTCGGAAGCTGTTTGTTTACGTTCATGGCGAAAGTTAAACTCTTTTTTTTTTTTGGCGGGGGGGAGTTAGCAACTGCACATGTCAGTGCTTCTGTTCTGAATAAAAGCCTGGTGCATGTAAACACTCGTTTGCACAAGTTTAATAGTCTACTAAGTTTAGGACTGCATGATGTCCGTTTTTATAAAGAAGATGCATCTTCAGCGTCCTGGCTGACAAGTTTGAGTTGAACCTGTGTGTTCCCCTTTATTGCTTATAATATTGGGCATGTGTATTTTGTATGTTCATTGCACTTTAGCAAATTCTGAGAAATAAAGCCACAAAGTGAAAATGTTTTTGTTTTGGGCATTTTTAGAGTAACACAAATTCACAAATGTTAACACAAATTACTCAAATTAATTTGTAAAGACTAATATGTTGTCTTTTTTAAGACTAAAACTAAACAATTTTTTAAGCTTTCGTCGATTAAAACTGACTAAATCCATTAAAAATAGAAATGACCAAAACTAAGAAGTGTTTTTGTTCAAAAGACTAAGACTAAAATTAAAGTGGCAGTCAAAAACAACACTGTTTACTACCAACCATATCATGACAGGATTCCACGTCTTTTCCAATCCCATGACTGATGAGTGGAGGCTGGGAGGAGCAGTTAATCAGCGACACAAACTCATTCTTATTGTTTTTGGGAAAGTCTGTGTAATCCACCTGCAGAGGACATCCCAGACTTCAATAAACACCAACAAACAAACAAATGCATGGCTCATCACGTGTGCGTTGTTGGTTACCTGCAAGTTCTGCACAGATGCAAGATAGCCGAGCTGCTCCGACGGCCTGGTGATGGGGCCGTGGGGCAGCTGGTTCACGTTGTTTTTGTTCTTTAGGATAGTCTCGGCGGTCATGGATGTCCCAGCATAGAGCAGCTCGTTGGCAATCATGGCAGTGATGGTGGCCTTGCCTGGGTTGGGCACAGCTCGGCTGTAGTCCCTGGCCTGAGATCCCTGGCAGGCTCGGACTGCTTGGGCCACCTCAGGCACCATGGGCAGAATGCCTGCAGGCAGCTGCTGGGGGCTGAGGTAAGGCATGCGGAAGTCCTCCTCTTTAGAACCTTCCGTGAAAATAACATCTGTAAGGTTGAGGTTAGCAGGAATATATTTGAACCCAGACCAGACTGTTTCAACAAACACCTACCCAAKGTCACCTCCTCCACAGAACCCGGTTCAAAGAAGGTCACTTTGCGCCCGTCACTTGGTTTTTTCACAGGAGTCTAAACAACACACACACAAAAAAAACATTAACAAAATGTTGGTCAACATTAAACTGTCTGAAATATTTACTTGGCTTCCTTGGTAAAGACTGAGTCGTACTTTTTCATCAGTTTTAAGAGCTGGTTTGGGAGGCTGAGGCTGAGGCACTTTATATCCTAGGAGTTCCAGCATTTTCTCTGCTGCGTTCCTCTTGGCCACCTTCTTACTCGGTCCCATCCCCTCTGCTGACTGGCCACACACAGTCACCTGGGCCAGAATATTAAAGTAAAAATGAATTATAAGGAATCAGTAGACAAAAAAAAGGAAACAGATTAAACACTGCTAGCACACCTGAACTGAAGTCGACTCACCTGCATGACGAACTCCCTGCGTCGTGGCAGGCCTCGTTCTGTAACCATGGCGTACTCGGGCTCCTTCTCCTTCTTAGCTTGCTGGATCTGAGCCAAGCGGCTGATGGGATTCATGCCCTGGCCGTACTCGGGGCTGGTCTGCAGCTGTTGGCATGAGGAGTTAATCGTTACTTAATGAGGAGGTTTTTAGGTCCGCTCTGACTCATCCCACCCCGTGTTCTACTGGTACATCACCTTGATGATGGATTTGGTTTTCTTTTTGATGCGCGGAAGCTTCTTTTCCACGCTCGGCATGTGGGGCAGCCGCTTCAGCTCGTTCAGCACTGCCGCTGCTGCCAGCTTCTTGGCAATCTTTTTGCTTTTCCCCTCGCCTTCTCCCACGAACTCACCGACTGCAACACGCACTACAAAACTTTTCATGTGTGGAGGACCCTCTTCTTTTAAAACCTGAAAAAAATGACAACCCAAATTCTGCTTAATGTAACTAAATGAAATGCAAGGTGTATTTTTTATTACCAACATTAGGGCTGCAACTAACGATTATTTTAATAGTCGATTAATCTGTCTATTATTTTTTCGATTAATTGGCCAAATCATTAATTACATGAATATGAGTAGATATAAATTAATTTCATTCCTGTATAAATTAAGGATGCAAGTTATTGATTAATCTGAAGTTGATTTATCTTACAGATTGACTAACAATTAATTGATAAGCAGCCATTTTCTTAAAAACRYGAGTTTTCTCTTGAATCAAGAGGGTCTTTCCATAAAATGAAGGATTTTTTTATAATCTGCTGAATTAAAAAAACAGAAGCACATCATAAATATCTTAATTTATTTTGCCAGTTGTATTAAATACTGACTGTAAAGAAATGTGTATTTCTCATGGAACATAACAGAAACTTAATAGGTTGCTGAATGAGGAAAATAGATTAAAAGAATAAAATATGATTTTTGATGGAAAACTGTTATTAATTTATTATAATAAGAATTTATTTACATTTAACACTTGTAATTTTTCTTCAATTCTTTACTTTTTGCTTCATTCTTGTTGGTTCTGTCTGACTAAAACATTGTTCTGACCCATTAAGCGGTTCTGAAGCAGCCCCTGTCCGTCTCCCCTCCTCCTCCTCTCCCCTACTGAGGCTGACCTGCTGCTGCTCGATCGGGTCTTTTATTTATTTATTTATTTATTTATTTATTTATTTATTTATTTATGTATGTATGTATGTATGTATGTATTTATTTATTTGTCCTTAACCTTTTGCTGCTCAACAAATAACTTTGAGCCTCAGTCAGAAAAACTGGAGGGTTTTTATACTTTTGGCCCGAGAGGAGGACGCATTTCCTCCTCGCGATGGGGCTCGCATCAAATCAGACAGTCTTTTTAAAAAAATTAACTGTGGCATATACTTTCTATCCTATCTTCAGATCTACTTGGCCTAACAACACAATTTAAAAACTGGTTTAAAGTTCGAAGTCTCTACTTTTCACTCGAGTCAGAGAGGGCGGATCTTTACAGGTAGAGTTTTTTCTTTCTTCCTAAACTTTATTTAGGTCAACCAGCATTGACAACGCTCTGCAGGTGACGTAAACGGCTCCGCCACACGGCGAGGGATGTATAAATCACGCAACACAACGAATCGATAATGAAATTTGTTGCCAACACTTTCAATAATCGATTTTTATTGATTTTATCGATTCATTGTTGCAGCCCTAACCAACATATTCCTATATATAAAAACCTTGGACAATAATACAAATCAGTTCAAACCTCAAAGTAGACAGGTAAGTTCCGCTTCAGAGATATTTCAAATACTTGACTAATTTCTGATTTGTTTAAGTTCTCCTCCTCGGGTTCACCGTTCATCTGTTAAAGACATTATTCAAATTGTAAAAAGTGTCTCTAAAGCTGGATGACAGCTGTCTGGTAGTTTCACGCTGTTTTTCTCACCACTGGACACTGCTGCAGTACAGGTTCCTTCTGCAGCACTTTCAAAGCCTTGGCAGCGGCTTCGTGTTTGGCTATCTGCCTCGTACGCCCCTTCCCAAAAAACTGCTGACCTCCTACAGAAAGCTCCATGTGGTAGATCATTGGTCCCACTGGAGGAAATGGATAGTAGTACCTGGACATATAAAAGAGTTATTTTCCTTTTTTTTTAAAGTACAGACAAAAGGCAAACGTTTCCGTCATCTCTTGTGACTTGAACTCACTGTTGCATAGAGCGCTGGTAAGGCCCAGGAGCCCGGACGTTGTAGTTAAAGTTTGGCGGTCTCATCCCTGGGTACGAGTCGATGGGTTTATAGTTCGGCTTTTTACCGAGCTTGACACAAAGAGCATTCAGCTCCATGGTATGCGTAATGCCATCTGCTGCAAGAACAAACATTAAATGATGAATGCAAAGCATTAATTGGGAGGAAACGCCAACAGCGTTGGTGGAAGCAGCCCACCTGGGTTCCTGCCCGGGTTGCGGGGTGTCCTCATGGTGGGCTTGGGAAGTGTTGTCTCAGAGAGAGCCGATGCAGCAGCGGAATGCTGGGCTTTCTTGATGCTGGTCCCCTCTGCCTCCCAGTGCTGATCTCCCAGCGTGAGCCTCACTGAGAAAATCTTTGAGTGAGCTGGTCCTTGCTCAGAAAGCAGTTTGTACTCCGGTTGAATCTTGTTGAAACGGGCTAACTCATTCACCAAACACATGGGTGTCTTCTCTTTAGGGTTTGCCATGTTAGATACTGAAACAAGACAAAAACACAATATACTAAGGATGTAGTAAGTTGTAAAGACTCACAGCTTATGAACATTTGAAAGCAATAACGTCCAAATTTGGTTGATTAAAAGAAATCAATAGGAAGAATAACCCACCTGTGGTGGTATTATAAGGGGTGACAGAGCCCGCTGGGAGAGCGGAGGTCCTGACAGGCTGACTGGCACTCTCTGATTGTAGGGCACCTGTGGCACACGGGATGCTATAGCCGGCCTGCGGCTGTCCCAGTTGCAGTGGGGCAGAGGCAGCAGGCACAGGACTAGCAGGACAGGAAAACTGGAGCTGAGACATCCTAGTTGCTCTAGATTTGAAGGCTGAAGTCAAGATAGGAAATGTATAACGTGGGAGGGACTGTGGATTGAAGAGGTCTGAAATAAAGGACTGCCAGGAGGAGAGTCTGTAGGACAGAAATATATATTCAGATATCCCAATAACAGCATCTTGTAAAAATCACTGCATTTAAAACTCATCCATTTTCAGAACAATGACAGCATTGTTTCTTTACACACCTCTTCAAACAAAAACACACACATTTTAATGTGATTCATTGTGGAGGAGGTATTTTGTAATGGTTTAGTTTAGTTTTATTGTAATTGTATTAATGTGTTTATGATTCTGTAACTGACAGCCCACAAACTAATGCTCACTTTACCATTAACACAATTTAAATTATAAAATACAGTAATCACTGGCACCAATCCGTTTACTTGCAAACAAAAAAAAAAACCTTCAACAGAAAGAAACAAAGTAGGGATGCATGATATATCAGCATTCATATCAGTATCGGCTGAGTGATATTGGTCATTTTTTAGAATATCGGTATTGGTCCAATTTGTAAAACTGGGCCGATATTAACATCCAATATTGATTTTCCAATTTTTAGCTTTGTGTTTCTGTTTTGGGAGGGGAGATGGTTGGTTGAACGGCACCTGTTTGATCATTGTGATATTTACGCTGCGTAGCCAGAAATAACTGAAGTAGAGAGCCATGTTAGAGGTCTGGTCGTTTATTTATGGTATCAAGAAAAGACCCAAGTGTGTTTGTGCTTATATGTATAATATAATTTGTGTGTTTGTGTAATATTGGTAAATGTATTTATTTATTTTTTATTTACCATTATTTTACCAGGCAAGTCCCATTGAGATTGAAATATTGATTATCAGCCGAAATTTTCATATCGTGCATCCCTAAAACAAAGCATCTTAAATTGATGGGCAACAAGCTTATTGTATTTTGTTGATTTAAAAGTCTTTTGAACTTTAGTGAAGAGCTGTAAAAGTCATAATTCTGATTTACGTTCCTAATTACTTTTGTGAGTGTGTTGGACAGTGCTTGGAGGACAGTAATTACCAAAGTCCAAGATGCATAAGACCTCTTAAGGCCCTGTCACACTACAACATTTTAGGCAACTTATAAAAATTTTGTCTGACTTTGAGGATGTCTACGCTGAAGATGGACTTTAAAAAAGCCTCTTTTAGATCTAAACATACTGCAACACCAAAAGATAGATCAAATATATACCATATGAGTTTTTTTTTCCCCCCATAATTTTACATAAGTTGTCTAAAACAGTGTGGTAGGGCCTTTCAGATATCAGGGGTCTATCTAAGAACTATATTGTTCAACCCCTGAAGAGGGAACAAATGAAAGAGCCTGCTAATATGTCAATGTTTCTAACCTGTATGTATGTATATATTTATACATACAGGTTATATATATATATATATATATATCAGTTATGATTTGATTAAAATGTTCAGTGAGTTTACAGTATAATTCCAGATCAATCATTTAAAAAATCAGCTGTACAGAAGTTAAAACAGGGGCATAATTAATGTATATTAAAGCAGAGATGTGCAATACATATTTTAGACAAGTTTCCCTTTTATTTGGATGTCCACACCTGTGTGCAGAATATCACTACTCGGATTAACTGGGGTTAGTTTTATGTTTGTAATTATGCCATTTGTTGCAGACCTACGTACAGCGTAAAGGTAACGCAACTTCAAAGAAAATCGTAATGAACTGCACCTGAAATAAATTGGCTTTTAAACTTGGAGAGCAACAGCAACCGGTAAGCTAGCTAGTTGGGTTAGCCGATGCACACAATGATAGAAAACACTCTCAAAATCAGTACTTATGTGCAGTACGTCAGACATATTCCGTATTTCAAATTATTAGACAGTATATGTGTAACTGACATCATTGTCAATACCTAAACTATAACGTTATCTGTAAATTAAATTAGGCCGCCAGGGTTTAATCCGAGCCACTCTTCGGACCACGTTAGCAAAACAGCTTTCTCTCTGCAGAGGCGCCAGTGCATCAATCTTCGCCAAACAAACGATGGAAAACGTTTTTAAAACGATGCAGTAATGAAGGCAAGCTTACAATTAAGAGGTAGCGGTGATTGACACAAATGGAATAACCTGATCATATTGTTTTATCTCGATTTACCGGTCGGTGAATATAACAGAAGCCGGTGTTGTAAAAACCGCTAGGCAGCTAGCGAACAGACACGGGTCGGTGTACTAAAATAAATAATAATAAAAAAGCCTTACCTCGTCGCTCCTTTTGTTTTTATCACTCCATAAGAAATTGTGGTTTAATGTCGCTTCAGATGACAAGTTCTAAGCGTTATTTTATCATCAAAATATGGCCAGAGAGGAGGTGAGCATTGGGAGGACAGGGCAAACACTAAAGAGAATAGCACAGGCTTGATTTTTCTCCCGGAAGTGACATAACCAGACAGGAAGTAATTTACAAATTAAATTTTCAAAATAATTCAGACAAATATGTGTCCAAGCAATGTAAGAAAGACAGAAAGAAAACGTTTAGAATTTTATTCTCATTGCATCAGTAAGACAAAAAAAAAAAAAAAAGGAAAAAAAGGGAAAAAACACAAGTTAGGCAGAACTAGTATTTCAAATGGTATAAAAACGCACACATAAATCACTAAGAAGCTCATTATTTAAGCCAATAAATATAAAACTGGTGGCGATTCACTATAAAATATTGCTTCTACGGTCTATCATTTGAAAACTTCACAACTTGAAGATAAGGGTAGTTAACTGAGGTGAGTGGTTCCATTCAGGAGGTCACTGGTTGTAAGCCTGACAAATATTTAGAGAGTCTCTCAGCATCAAGTCGCGCAAACGCCACAGTGCGTCCACCATGGTGGTGTGAGCTCCTTTGCTCTTCAGCCAGTGGGCTGGAAGCCGACTCTCCTGTTCTTTGGTCAAGTGAGCGTCTCGTCTTTGAGCTGTTAAGGAAAAAAGATAATCTTCATTAAAGCAAAAGACAACAAAAAACTGTCCAACTTTTTTAAAATAAATTATCAAATTGATGTTTACACAAATGCACACACAGACTTACAACCATTTAATAGGTAGAAAGAATCACCACCTTTGAGTGTTTGGTCCCACTTGCTGACAGTGCTAGTCTCTGCATTTAATCCCTCGATGTACTTCAGGTAGGCCTCGGAGTGGAGCACCCTTTGTGTTTTTGGAGGTGGTGCCACAAACATGGGAGTGGTGGGTTGCAGATGAGATGGCTGGCCCTGTCCTGGATATGGTGGAGGAGCGTGTTGTCCTGGACTGAACATCCCAGGCTAAAAGAAAAAATATTTTTCTTTGTAAACTAGTACTGCATCCAGAATACACCCATARATGATTATTTGGCTTTGTTTCAAATAGTCTAGCTTTTATTCACTATATGACTTTCCTCACAGCKAAARGTTAATTATGCTAGAAAAAAAATCTTGCCTCGTCACCAGGTTTTTACTTTATTTAAACAAAAGCATTTTCTGCCTTGTGCTCACCTGTTGCATAAAATTTCCTTGTCCTGGACTTCCTGCCATGCCGTTCATTCCTGCACCCATCATACCTGTAAAAATACACAACTCAGTTTGGACAGATTAAAAAAAAAAAAGAAAACTAAACTGCTGAGTTTATGTTAATCAGTTAGTCAATGAATATCAGTAAAATGTTAGTGATATGGTATCAGTTTTGTCATGCGTTACATGTTTGAATGTGGATATTTACGTTGTTTTTTTTTTTTTTGTAGTATGTGTAAAATGAGATTTATTGCGGGTTTTGACAGATCACTGTGTAGCTCAGGCTGTGCAGCCCGTGGACCAGGTAAACCCCCTCCAGCAGGAGAGACACGACTGCATGTGACTGAGCAGGTGTGGCTGGGACAGTGGGCCCTTACCCTGATGAGGCATGCCAGGGTATCCAGGCATACCTTGCTGGAGATGGTGAGGAGGCAGGTGAGGTGGCATTGGGGCCACACTCAGCAAACCCTCATGGGGGCCCTGCATGGGCATGTAAGGTGGGCCGTAAGCTCCCATCATGCCTTTGGGAAGAGGGCGAGGAGAGCACAATACATTCATGCATAAGTTACATGCAGCTGACACTAAACATGCACTAGAACTACTGCTTAAAGTGGCCCTTTTCACACACTGATACTAATATAGTAAAACATTAAATTTTAAAATTAATTTTATTTTACACTTTTTCAATAATAGATGTCTCTAAAATGTAGCGATGCATACTTTATTGTATTAAGTGTGAAAATGTATGTTTATTACTTAAAATAAAAAAAAAATGTTTTTTTTATTATTATAACAAACCCATTATTYTTATCTTCCAACAGTTAAAATATTTTTCACAGCTGACCTCCAGCTAAGGTTAGCTTAGTGTAAACTGTTAAAAAGCTCACATACGTAACACCTGAAGATACAGAGGGTTCAGTGTGTGAAAGTAGCTGACAAAACAAATGGTTAAAAATGTATGAATGTTAAAATAAAAGTACGTATATTAAATGGAGAATAAAAATGCATTCGTGGTTAAAACAATCATGCAGTCAATGTCGTGCAATATCACATATAAAGCAGATGATAATGAAAATAAACATAAAATCTGTAACAGCTGTAAAAGGACGATAGAAATGCTTTCAAAATGCAGTAAATGCAAAACAGGTTTAAAAATGTTTGGAAAATGAGAAGATTGTTTTTTTTTAAACAGTCCGGCCTCACTTTCCTGCTGCCTTGTAGTCAAAACACTCGTGCTGTCTCTGAGAGGGGTTACCTGACACAGGTGTCATGGTCTGGTTTATCATTCCCATAGTGCTAGGCGAAGGCACCACCCCCATCAGTGCCCCTACAGGGGTACCTGCTCTAGGGGAGCCGTGCTTGAAGAACGGCCTGTCGCGCTCTTGCTGCTCCACTATTTTGGCTGCTCGCTCTGAAACYCACAGAAACAGGTTTCCAGTCGACTTCAGCTCACGCAAAACCAACGACTGAWCCTGCCGGTGGATCATGAGGATTCACCTTCATACTCTGCTTTTTTGGAAGCTTCGAGGTTTCTCCACTCTGTGCCGACCAGTCGACTCAGCTCCCCGAAAGAAAAATCTGGGTGTCGAGCTTTAATGACGGCTCTCATTTCACTGCTGAACAGGATGTAACCGCTCATGTTGATCTTCCTCTTGGCTCCTTCCTTCTTCGCTAATCCCTTTATCTTAGGAGTGGCCTTTATGATAAAGCACACAAGCAACAACAATGTAAATATTTCTATAAGTGGTAGAGCCTTTTAATATGTTTTTTCTTAGGTTAATGTATGGATACTTGGGAWGGCGTGTAAGGCATCATATCCATGTCGCTTGACAGAGAGGTTTGCATCTGAGGGAGTGAAGGCGTTGATGGACCATCTTCATCTTCATCCATTTCTTCCATGTCATCATCTGCATCCTCCAGGTCTGCCAGCTTAACCTCGAGCTCATCAATTTTTTTGTTCAAAAAGGGCGAGGCCTCCTTTTGTGGCACAATCAGTTTCCTACATTCACCAAATGAAAGATGACACTCAGACTGGAAGAGTAATGATTCTGTTTTACAACAAAGCAATCACCCTGTTTAACTCACAAACCTGAAGTAAAAGACTTCGTCCTCCAGCACTTTGGACGAATATGAGAAGCGTTTCAGCCCCTTGAACTTTTTCATTTGTTTCTCAGCCTCGTGGTATCGGCTCTCACACAGCAGGACGTCGTCCTCGGAATACTCGGTTGGTCTGCATGACAGGTAGTCCTTAAAGCAGGACACCACACATTTGCCTGGAGGGCAGACAGGCAGAATTAAGCTCGTTAATTAAATTGTTCTCTCACACAAGCTGAGGTGAKGAGGCCTGTAATTTAAAGCAAAATTACAAAGTGGCTGGAAAAACAGGTGTCTAAATCACAGTGTGTGCACTCTGTTTAAAGAAATCTATYGATATATTTTAAAGTGTCAGTGAAATACCTATGACACAAGTCATGGGCAAACTCTCCTCCAGATGACTCAGAAAGACTTCTCTTTTGTAGAACATCTTTGTTGGTTCGTGCTCAGTCTCCTCAGGATGAATGAAAATGGGTCCAAAGAAGTAGGTAGTTCCATTCTGTACCCACAGCTTTTCTATCCTGCAGAGCACAGATCGTAAATAAACCTATTTTCTAAAAACATATTCAACATCATTTTACATTTGATTTAGTTTCCTCTGTAATGAAATGCACTTTCACCAACCTGGCAACCCGAGGTTTTGACAGACCGTGTGATCGGATGTAAACACAGTCCCCCACTTTAAACCACAAGTTGTTGAAGTGTAGCTGCTCGTAGTGCTGACAGCTGGGCTCAGAGCCGCTCATCTCCATCGGGACTTCTTCCCTCTCCTAAAAGAATTTGCGTGCGCACACAGAGGAAGTGTTTGCAATTTCACCATCTTTTGTACTTGGAAAGCAAAAGTCCTTAGCCACCCAGCTCGGCATCAAAACATGCGTGTCAGCAGTCGAAAAGTTAATTAAGCCTCTGTAGTAAAGGGAAACTGATAATGTTTGGCTTAAGCAACAATCCTCTAAGGATTGTATTTTCCTTTTATCAATACCTATAGGATTATCATTTACACCTAGACTAACTGTGCAGGCTACGTGGTTTAATGGTAGCTCAATATTAATGTCAATTATCAGTAACTAAAAATTGTATTCTGTAATGTGTTCAACTTTATGAAAAATCTCACCTTGTCCACAAAACTGCCACTGTCCACGTACGACACGGTTAGTTTCTCRAGGTCGGGCTTGACGAACATTGAAGCTACGCGGACAACAGGAAGTGGAACCTCCCGAGGTACTAACTTCACAGAACTTTCAGGCATGGCCCAGATTTTGATCTTCTTGAAGGACTTATTTCTGGCAGCGTAGCGTGACTCACACACATAGACATCCTCAGCTTTAAAGCCCTCTGGCTGCATTTTGAAATAATCCTGCATGAACCAGAAAGAAACGCAGTTTGGGATTTTTGAATTTGATGAAAACACATTGTTGCTAGAGGCGGTAAAGGTTGGAGAGGTGTCTTGCCTTCACACAGATAACCACACATTTGCCCAAAACTTTGCTGAAGGGCGCTTTGTTGTAATAGTCGCTCTTGAAGACCTCTTTTTCCAGGAATTTGCGAGTAGCCAGGTGAAAGGTCTCGCTGGGTCTATAGAACCAGCAGCCATGGAGCCATTTCCCACCTGCAGACACAAAACCAAGAAAACATTTTTATTAGAAAATTTACGTTATTCAGCACACTCCAACGTTTAAAACATAAATGCAATAATATYCATCCTCAAAGGTTTTAGCAGAACCTTGACAACATGTTTGAAGTGGTAAATCAGAGCTGCACGACAGCGCCTATTTAATAGGGGTGCAACAATAAATGCACCCGTATCGAACAGTGCTTTAGGTTCAATACACACTTGTATCGAACAATAC